GAAATGACAGTCTTTCGATATTTGACGCCCCATTTTGAGTTATATTTCCCTCCCCCTCTTGGTAAACGAAAGGAGATGAAAAGAGACTGAACTATGTTGAAAAAGGAAAAAAAATATCACAGGGATCGTGGCATCACTCGAGAACATCAGTAACTTAAAACAAGCGGCTCGTGGCGACAGAAGACAGTATACCCGTGGCATCTCTAGCTGGAACTACCATGGCACTTCCCTTGGCACCTTTGCTGAGTCTGGCCCTCGCGTTGATGCTGGACCAAGGAGCATCCTCTGATCTCAGCATTTTGTCCCTTCCTCCTCCTCTTCCTCCTCGTCCTGTACCTCCTTCTTCTCGTCGTTTGCCTCGTTCTCCTCCTCTTCCTTTACCTCCCTCTCCTCCTCTTCCTTTACCTCCCTCTCCTTCTCTTCCTTTACCTCCTTCTCCTCCTCTTCTTCCTGTTTCTACGCACACTGCTTATCAGGACTCAGCCATCGCGTTAAACCAGGTGACTTTGGTGAAAATCCTGCAGGAAATGAAGGATCTGGCCGTCTTTTCTCGGGGTGAGTTTGCGGTCTGGAAGTAAAGAAAAAAAAATTTAAAAAAAATTAGAGAAAGGAAACGAAAAAATAGGAAATAAAGAAAGAAAGGAATAACGGAAAGGAAATAAAGGAAATAAAGAAAGAAAGGAAATAGATAAAGAAAGGAGTAACTTCATAAAGGGGATGAAGAAAGAAGGAACAAGCAGGAAAATATTTGTGATTTGATATGTTCAAGAAATGAGAGAAAAAAAAGGATAGCTCGTGTGATCATTTCAGTTATTGTTATTTTTTTCTTATTTTTTTATCATTCATTCCTATTACCATTCATTTCTTTTATTATTCATCTCTGTCATTGCTATTTCTTTTATCATTCATCTCTGTCATTGTTATTTATTTTATCATTCATCTCTGTCATTGTTAATTTTTTTTATTATCCACTTCCTTTATTTATATATTTTATCATTCATTTCTCTCCTTATTCATTTCATTTATTATGCATTTTTTTCAGAGGCCGGGCGCATGAGAGTCAACGAAGGTGCACCCGACGCCCCCCAGCCGACTCACCTGAGTCACCTAAGTCACCTGGCCACCATCGCTCAAGGTGAGTTACGAAGAAGGTGAGAGGGGAATTAGGTGAAAATGGAGGAAGAGAGGAAATGATTAGGTGAAAAGGGAGGAAGAGAGAGAGCGATTAGGTGAAAAGGGAGGAAGAGAGAGAGCGATTAGGTGAAAAGGGAGGAAGAGAGAGAGCGATTAGGTGAAAAGGGAGAAAGTGAGAGAGCGATTAGGTGGAAAGGGAGGAAGAGAGAGAGCGATTAGGTGGAAAGGGAGGAAGAAAGACAGAGATTAGGTGAAAAGGGAGGAAGAGAGACAGAGATTAGGTGAAAATGGAGGAAGAGAGACAGAGATTAGGTGAAAAGGGAGGAAGAGAGACAGAGATTAGGTGAAAAGGGAGGAAGAGAGACAGAGATTAGGTGAAAATGGAGAAAGTGAGATAATAAATAGGTGTAAAAAATCAGCGGAGATTTTGGCTAATCAAGTGGATCAATTAACCTAGATGAATTTCAGTGGGAGAGTCAATAAGTGAACATATGTGTACGTGAACTGGTGAGTAAGCGTAAGTGTAAGTGTATATGTGTACGTGAACTGGTGAGTAAGCGTAAGTGTAAGTGTATATGTGTACGTGAACTAGTGAGGGAACAATGCAAAAAACAGGGAAACGTTCAGGGAGGCAGATTATAAAGAAAATAAAAAACAAGCGAGAGAGAGAGAGAGAGAGAGAGAGAGAGAGAGAGAGAGAGAGAGAGAGAGAGAGAGAGAGAGAGAGAGAGAGAGAGAGAAACTATATACACAGACATTTCTTTTTTTATTCCAAAGGGTTATTCCGTAGTCAATTTATTTCCATTAATTTGCCAACTACAACGACATTACAACTTCAGTAAGAAATATGAGTAGTTTGATCCCATACCTTCTACATGTTGTAGTTTAAAATAAATTAATCGTTCACTTTTCTTGCAGGAATTCAAGACATGTCCACCAGTGTCGACAGTCTAACTCACGTTCTGTCCTCATTCCTAATGCATATGAATCACGACACAGAAGGTGAGTAATTTCGCTAAGATCTATATACCTATTTCCCCCCTCCCCCCCTCCCCCCTTCTCTTTCTCTCATTAAAACACACACATACAGATAACTATATATATGTATATATCTACATCTACATCTATATTACTTAGAAGTCGGATATAATTCTTGATAGATCCTTTATTATTTATAAGTGATGCCAAGTGCTATCCATCTATTATGAAATTAACAATTTCCGAACCCTCTTGCGTGTTCCTAAGGCAACGAAGCCGTATGTTGCATTAGATAAGTGATGTACTTATTGGTTATTACTAAGATATGTTTCATTGAATCTTTTATCCATGTCTACCCGAAGGCTACTAGCTTAAAAAATCAAATTCT